GGAGGCCGCGGAGCGCTTTTCGTCCGACGCTGCTGTTGGGAAAAGTGAAGATCTCGTGGTAAGGACTCCGAACCCTATTTCTGTTTTCAAAGATATTGAGTTTTGACCGAGTTATGATTTGGTGTTTTCGTAGTCGACTTTTCGACGTGATTTGGATTTGACACATCTTTCACCGCACAACTTTTAGTATGTTATAGATATGATTATTGTACACGATTTGACTGTATTCTACGAAGATTTTACCGGTCGGAATTGATTCTACGCGATTTTAATCGAATAGAAAATTATCGGGACTTGATTTGATTTGATTTCTATAGAATAATAGTCTTATATTGATGTTATGGATCTTCGTCTGTAATTTGGAAAGATTTGGAAATTGTATCTTTTTGCAGGATTTTTGTGTAAATTCGACCGACTGCCGTTACGCTGCCCGATTTTCGTATGATTTCCGAATTTTCTGGAATTGATAGATTAGATTGATATGCTATTGGTTATTGATATGATTGTTATAGATTGTATTAATATTGATTATTGAATTGCTTATTGATTGATTATTGATACTGGGAAACACGTATAGCCTGGTTGAACATTGGTTGGAGATTGATATTGACCTGTACAGGATGGTGGGCCGACGGGCTTTCCTTTAAACCATTGATCATTGATATAACGATTGGGAGTCATAAGGAGTTTATAGAAATGCCGACGGGCGAAAAGAGTGACGACTCTTATTGATAGAACCAATGTACGGATCTACAACAGCAATATGGATTCTACAACAGCACTATTGATCATGACTAGTGTTTGTGCTTGTCGAGTAAGACCATTGTATGGAACTGCATGTTTACTGTATTGCTTTATGGATTCGTTGTTTTTATAGATTTCTGCTTTATTGACTTTGATCGGATTTACTAGTTCGTACGATTTCATTGATTTTACTGATTGATTGCTGTGCATCGACATTGAGCATTGATATAAATGGATGGATATAGATATTGCATTGATAGCATGGACATGAATAGTATAGAATCATTGATACTGTTGCCTATAGATTTATTGATTTTGTATATAGATTCATTGCTTTCCTCGTATTGATTTCATTGAATAGATATTTGATTAGACCGCATTGATTTGATTGATAGCGATTGATTTAACGGATTGATCTATTCGACGACTTGATTGATTTGACGGATTGACTGATTTTCTTTTGTGTACGGCTTTCTTCGAGATTGACATGGATTTATTGAGTTGATTTATTGATCGTCTGGCGCTGCATTGACTGGTTTTATTGACTATGGATTTCCGCATTTCATAGACTCATTGACCATTGACTGATATGATTTGATTGACTGACATGCATATTGATAGCATCGCCGTGCTTTGATTTCAGTTATAGGTATTAGGTGACCTGCTGGGCTTTGTAAAGCTCATTATATGTGGTTGATATTTTCAGGTCAGGGCAAGGGAGCAGAAGATAGGAATTGATCCAGATCTTCAGGTTTTTGTCTTTTGATTGATAGTGATTCTTTTGTACTCAGGATAGATTTCAGTACTGGTGATTGTAGTGTAATTCCTGAGTATTTGTACATGATTTTGAGATATGAATCGACTTGTATATTGATGTTTTAAATTTTATAGATGTCTGATAGACTGTTTAATTGAAGGTTTTAGATAACTCTGGTAAATTGTTTGAGTAATTGATTGACATTTTTTCCAAGTTAGAACTTGGGGCGTGACAGCAGCGGTTATAACAGATGTCAACCTACAAATTTGCAGCGGTCATAATCGCTACTAATAACTTCTAAATAAATTGATCCATAGAATTGTGGTGGTTTTTGACCGCCACAATTTAGATAGGTTGTGGCGGTTATAATTGGACGAATGAAGAGGCCATGAAGATCAAATAGCCTGAGATTGGGAATTAGGGATTCTGCTTAAGAGGCACGAGCAGGACTTTGTCGACGGTTAAAACCGGCGCAATTATTACCGGTTAACATAGGTGCAATAGAATGATTTTGGTGGCGGTTTCAAAACCATGCGAAAAATACTCTATTTTCGTAGTATAATTTTTCCAAAACTCAACTGTAATAATACTAATAATAAATATTAAATAATGTATAGTATATTTCTATTATAAATAATCGACTCATGTGAAAATTTGGATATAGCGAAATTCCACAACAAACGTAAAGTGATAGAGAAGATGTTAATTTGATTTTATAAATATGATGATCAGGGACGAAGTTATTATAAAGTGCATCATTTCTTAGAGCTCTTTTGATGAGGAGAGTAAGCAATCGACCATGAAAGAGAGAAGTACGAACAGTATCAATAGTTAGCTACATATCCATGTCAGAGAAGTTAGTTGAAATTTTCAAATAAAAATATCAATAGCGAACATCAAATAAGTTCTGAAAAGAGAGTGCTAACGAAGAGAATTGCTAGTGAGCATCAAGAGGCAAAGATGGGCACCATTTTTGGTGGAAGGAAGTGCTTGATACATCACAAGCAGAGGCAATGCTGAAGAAGGCGTAATGTGAGCACAATAAATGAAATATTTACTATAATTTTAGAGTTTGTAATTTACATTGTTAACACTTTTCGCAACAACAACAACATCAAATCTTTGTCCCACTACGTGTGGTCGGCTACATGAATCCTTTTTCTTTATTGTGTCATGTTAAAAGTCAATTTCTCGTTTAAATCTAATAAAGAAAGATTATTTCTAATATTTTCTAACCAAGTCTTTTTTGGTCTACCTCTACATTTCTTAACATAAGTCAAATCTAATACCTCTATTTTCTTAACCGGGTCATCGGAAGGGCCACTGTTTTATATGACCAAACCATCTAAGGCAGCTCTCTAATCTTATCTTCCACTGGAGCCACTCCAACATTTTCATGTATATGCTCATTTCGTATCCTATCACTAAGGGTAAAGCCACTCATCCACCTGAGCATCCTCATCTCTGCAACACTTAACTTAGTATTATGCTTCTCTTTTAATGGCCAACGTTCGACACCATAAAACATTGTAGGTCTCATCACATCGATCTTATAAAATTTTTCTTTAAGTTTGAGGGGAACTTTTCTATCTAAAAAAATGAAGGCTGGTTAAAAAAGGGGTGCAACATGAGGACTTCTCAATAGGTCACTCATCCTATTATTATATTAGCCGAAGCACGCTTAACTAAAGAGTTCTGATGGGATCCGGTGCACTGATGCTTGTATGGTCGCACCCATAAATATAAAAGTTGAGACCCGTTTAAATAATTTACAGTGTATTGCTTAATTTGCTTACAATTTAAGGTTTCATTTGGGATTTCATTCTTACTGTTTCTTAAAACATTTTTTAATTTTTGAATGAAAAAGCTGTTTTAAAAAACAGTAATAAACCTGGCCTAAACGATGCCCAAGTATGAGGGTTACATGCAAGCATTTAACTAACTATTCATGTTCCCAAGTTAGCCTCTAATAAATGTTGGATCCCTGCTGTTTTTCATTGATTCAGCTCGACCTTTCATCCCTTAGCTTTATCATTGATTTTTTATTAATAAAATAATATTATTTTACTCATATACTTCATATATTTCACAATTATGTTGCAAAAGTAATTATGGGCCAATCAATAGTTGGCTGGCTTTCATTACAATAAACAAACTTAACACAGACAATACATTCAACCTGCTAAGAGATTCAGTACACAAACTTCATCTCATCAATAAGTGACAGCAAAAGAGAAATATAATCAGCATAACGAAAAAGAAAAATAAAGAAAAACATAAGCATTTTTGCATCAGCCCATGCAATATATCTGGCTTTTTCTTATTTTTTTGCTGCTGGTTTGCTGACTTTAGCCTGCAAGATAGAGAAGCAAACACCTTAAGAAATCTTTCTCAGAAGCCAGAAGTTTCTCTCATTGAGCTTTAGATTTTTAGTTCTTTATTTTTATGTTGGAAGGAATATAGTAGTTTTATGACTGTTTCCTCATTTAGAGTTGTAATTGGACCGTTATATATATATATATATATATATATATATAGATTAAGGCTTTATTTGGGACGGCTACTAACTTAAAATTGATAAAAAAAATTCTACACGTCAAATTAAGCTCAAATCTTTAGTGATTTGAGGTTGATTTGACTGTCTTATATTGATTTTTTCTTTAGATTTTGTATATACGTACATAGCTTAGGAGGCTTCATGGGCATACCTGAACCTTCTTTGTTGGAGCACGAGGCTTCTGTTCAGTCTTCTTACGAGCTTGCTTTGGTGATGTAGCTTTGGGCTTAGATTCAGTTGTCTTGCTGCCCAGTCCAATTGGAACCTGGGAGCTTGCAGGCCTCTCTGCCTTTATGGATGCCATTGATGCTCTTGCTCTCAAAGAAAGTTCGAACACTTGATAGACTTGAGAGTAGCTTGGGAGAAACTTAGGTCCTCTTTGGAAGTATTTATAGCAACAAAATTTTCGTCATAGATGATCAGGGGAATCAGATGTTCATTTCATCATCATATTTGAGTATTTGATGTCGACTTTTTGAATTCTTATTCAATTCATTTATTCCTTCGTGAGCATTATATGATATTAAGGCTTCTTTGGGACAACTTTTTTTTGGTTCTTAAAGCAAATTTTTAGTTAAAAAAATTAATTTTATATTAAAAAGCTGTTTTAAGAAACAGAAAAAAAGCCGTCCCAAACGAAGCCTAAGTCTTCGTTTGGAACGATTTTTTTGTTTCTTCTAATTTTTGTACTAAAAAACTGCGTTAAGAAACAACAAAAAAGCAGTCCCAAATGAAGCCTAAGAGTCTGTTTGGAATGACTTTCATGTTGCTTTATTTTTCAGACATCAACCATTATTTTATTACTTTCTTATTATTTTTTCACTTATTCTCAAAAAATTTTCATAGTTGAAAGTTTTTTATACAACCAAAATAACTAAGTTATTTTCCAATAATAACTTCACAATCAACTTTATAAAAAACTGCAGCTTACCCAAACATATGTTAAATGTATTTTATTTGTTATTTTTTTAATAATTTTTATTCATGTAACCTTTCGGATTTTTATCTATCATTATTTTTTTTATTTATTGGGTTTCTTCTATATTTTTCATGTGTAATTTTTTTCTAGCATTCATCATAAATATCAGAATTATTCAATTATTTTATTTTTTCTTATGCATCTTCAATATATGCTACTTCTTCTATTCTTCACCCTAAATATGCTCAATTATTAGATGCCTAATTTGCTCATTAATAACTTTTCTACTGCACAAATGCTAAATTAATATTATATAAATAATATGATTAATCTTAATCATATTATTTTATTGTATAAATAATATTGTTATTTTTTTGTTTTAATTTAAAGGGGTTAAATTTTAATTCTATAAATAATATCCTCAACATTATATTATTATTATTTTACTTGATACATCACAAAAAATAGTCTCGATCAAGCACGAATCTCGAGGCAAAATCAAGTTGGAAAACTTTAAAAATTAGATCAGAGACCATCTGAATTCTGATTTCAGTAAACTTACAGTCAAACTGAGCGTCTCGGAAACGCAAACCCAACGACACCAAAATTGACTCAATCTGAGCACAAATGAGTCCAAATCAAAGACTCGAAGCATTTTTGGAAGGATCGAACCACAGTTTGGGTTACCAAACGATCTTCAATCATGACATGCTTATAGTAGAATCGAGCGGCTCGACGAGACGAATCCAACGAGCCCAAGATCATCAAATTCTGATATCATTAAAACAATCAAATATCCATTGAACGGTGCATGATCTTAAGAATCAAGATCCGCCTTCCATTCGAACCACTCCAAATTTACCCTTGATCTTCCACTTATTTTCAAGCCACGCCACTCAAGAATTCTATAAATAGAGCTCCATTTCCTCATGAGAAAAAAGGGAGAAGCCAAGAGAGAAGAAGGAAGAGAAGGAAGAAAGCTCCTGCCGCCTAGCTCCTCCTCGATCACCGCCGAAGTGCTGCCGCACCACCGCCGTAGTCTTGCCGCACCACCACCGGACCACCAAGGGACGCCGGAGTGCTGCCGCACCACCGCCGGACCACCTAGGGATGCCGGAGCGCTGCCGCACCACCGCCGGACCACCAAGGGATGCCGGAGCGCTGCCGCACCACCGCCGGACCACCAAGGGACGCCGGAGTGCTGTTGCACCACCGCCGTAGTCTTGCAGCACCACCTCCGGACCACCAAGGGACGCCGTAGTGTTGCATCACCATCGTCATAGTCTTGCCGCACCACCGCTGGAGTATTGCCGCAACACCGCCGTAGTTCTACCACACCACCGACGAACCACCAAGGGACGCCGAAGTGCATGCCATCCGAAGCTGAAGTATCGCCTGACACTAAAGTGCCACTACCGATCCACTGCCTGACACCGGAGTGCCGCCGGACCACCACCTGACAGTGGAGTGACGTTGGACTTTTGTAAAACTCTCAGTTGATATCTGTAATTTGGTCATCTTCAAGGACGAGTAAGACCATTGTATTTTCCTCAAATTTTAGTGGAATCATCTTCAACTGGGCTAGGCCCCATGGTTTTTTCCCTTTCCTGGTTTTCCACGTAAAAAATATTGTGTTCTTTGTGTGTGAGCTGGATATCCATGCAACGCTAAGACGTAGAATTATAACTCTATTGCCGCGTATATTCTAGCCTGCAACATTACTATATAACAAAATTAAAAAAATTATATTGACTTCATAATTATTAATATCATATTACATTAAAATTATATATCACATGCTTACTTTCTTATTATATAAATTGAGGCCACTTGATGTACTAATCCAGACCAAGGGAATCAGATTCAAAACAATTAAATAAAGGAGATTATTGTTGGAGCATGTAGACATGGTATCAAATGCGGTGGAATCCAAAACCCAAATGATTAGATGGAGAATTAGATGCCTGAAATTTTCATTTATGGAGAGAATATGATAGCATCCAAAACAAGTTGATTGACATCCAGGGCTACATTGAATCTAGCTACTTGGCATCCATGGAGCAAATTTGGCTGGGCTCAAAATATATATATTTTTTTAAGTATTTTAAATTGATATGATTTTGAGTCCACTTAACTTGGTGTTATAGCGAAGATCACATGTATAAATAAGAGAGAGAGGTGCAACAATTATAAGAAACATCAACATTTTTACTAAGAAAACCCATGAAAGAAAAAAAAAAATCATGATGCTTGTCTTAGTTAAAACGAGTCCACTAGTGTTTGTCATTTATTGCAGATTATGCCTTTCCTTGGGCTCAATGTAGCAAATATATATCGTATAAGGCAAATTACATGATTGAGGTTGAAATAATCTAATGACATGAGATAAGTTCTCAAGAGAATATTGGTATGTTCATTTGTTAGGTAAGACCATAGTCGAGGCGATTGAGGTGTCAGGGATCGTAGTAAGACAAAAATGATTAGATGGGTCGTAGTCCGACGATGAGGTCATAAGAACCGTAGTGAGGAGACTAAAGTTGTAGGGATCTTAGTTGGGCGACTGAGATTGAAGGGACCGTTATCGGGTGTCGGAGTTAGGAGGGACCATTGTTGGGAGAATTAAAGGAGGTAGGAGGGATCACAGTCCATCAATGTTGGTTGTAGGGATTGTAGTTGGTGGACAATGTTGATTCGAGTGACTATTGTCGAGCGATTGAGGTCAGAGGGACCGTAGTTGAGTATAAAGGTTGAAGGGACCATAGTTGGCAAGAACAGAGGTTCAAAAGATTATAGTTGTCAAGATACATAGATCGATAGGACCGTATATGAGACCCCCATATTTAGAGTTCTGTTTAAATTGGTCTAACTTGACTTTTGTAACCTATTAATTTTTTGTATTTGAACTCTTTTGCTCATGTATGAGAGTGTTCCATATGCATGTGAAGGTTTGCATGTGTTTTGTAGTGGATTTGAGAGATCTGTTTGCATGTGGGTGAAATATAAAAATTTTCCTAGAGCGCCCTAGCATTATATTCTTAACACTCCAGCATTGAAGTCTGGGGAAAATCTACATTTAATTCAGCAATTCGCTGCGTGGCATGGGAGACAACGCCGTAAATCCTGTTGGGTGCGTTGTACGCTAGGACAAATTTAATATTAAAAATATCCAAATTCACTATGCGTTTTTGTTTCATTCTTCGACAGTTCCTAGAGAGGCATTTTGGAGAGAGAGAGAGAGAGAGAGAGAGAGAGAGAGAGAGAGAGAGAGAGAGAGAAGTCCATTTTGAATCATTTTTAGTCGTCAACTTAGTTCTGAAAGTTGTCGTGATTGAGGTAGGTCATGTTTGACAATATAAGTTTTAATGATTTGATATTTTTGAGATTTTTTGATAGAATTTATAATTTAGTTTTATAAAAATGCAGTTTTATCATATTTTGATAACTTTTATTCATATAATTTTTGATATGTTATCCATAAGATTGTTTTGATGGTTTTGACTATTTATTTAAAATTTTTAGCTAGGTGATTTTTTAAAGTAGTAATTTTTATCAATTAAAAATTTGAGCAAGCAATAAAGGTCTAAAGGAATATAGTTGGACAACTATGGTTGAAGGTACTGTAGTTGATAAACGATCATAGGGGTGTAAATGAGTCAAGTTAAGCTCTAGTCATGCTTAACTTGAGTTCGGTTTGTTGGCCAAATCATATCGCGAGCTCGAATTTGAGCTTGAGCTTGACTTAAGCTCAAATAGGTTGTTTGGGCTCAGCTCATAGTGATAGATGCGAGCTTGTGAGCCAGCTCACTAGGCATAAGGCCTACATTATCTTGTACTTTAATTTCTGCTTTTGCATCTGCAGATTTTGAGTCTAAGCTTCCCATCTACCCTTCCGCATTCACGCTAGTGCTTCCACTTCCTCTCCTACGATTCTGCCTTTTGCGCCTTGGCGGTTTGACTTCTACACTAGAGCCAATTCATGAGCTCATGAGTCGAGTCTCATCAAGCTCAAACTTGTGCTCATTTAACAAATGAGTACGAGTTTAATCTCGAGATATCAACTCGATAAGCTCAGCTCACGAGCTTATTATCAAGTCAAGTTTGAACCAACTAGGCTCAATTATACCCTCTAGACAATAGAGGTTGAAAAAGATCATAGACAACGGGCATAGAGGTTAGAAGGGATCATTGTTGGGTGACAGAGGTTAGAAGGACCGTAATCGATAGATGACAAGGTTGAAAAGACTATAATCAATGAGCAACATATGTTGAAAGGAACGTAGTAGGATGATTGATGTTGAAGGAGCCATTATTTGTCGACAGAGGTTAGAGGAATCAAAGTCAACGGGAGACGGTGGTTGGAAGGACCATAGTTGGTTGTCGATAGAGTTAAGAAGGATCGTTGTTGGGTTGACTGAAGTCAAAGGACCATAATCGAGCGAAAGTGGTCGAAAAGACTATAGTCGGGTAATAGCGGTTGGAAGGAC